AATCCACAGATAAATGTGATATTTTCCTAAAGCCTAAGACTAACGGTTGCAAGGTCAAGCCTTTCTCCAAAGGATTAACTAAAAACATCTTAGCTACTTCACAGTTCTTTGTTCTATAGACAAAAAACCCATCCTCCCTAATCCTTTTCAAGGTACAGCCCATTCACCTGGGCATCTGGAGCCCTCCTGCAGACCTGGCTCAGGAAGCTGAAGCAGCAGGACTCCGCCCAAGCTTTTGCCCTTATCTTTCACCTTCCCCCACCTGAGCTCAGGGGCTATAGATATGTTAATTGAGCCTGAGAATCCAAGTTGCTAGCCTGGGATTTGAACTAGCGAAGTACGATGTAACGTTACCTGAATGTCTGGAAAAGTACTGATGTTAGCTGTATCCTGTTTTGGTCCCTCCCAGCTTGATGTGAAGCTCCTCCCCTGAATAAAGCAGAGGCCCGGGCCTCCCCAGGTGTGCATTACTGGTTGGAAGGCTTGCAGTAAAGATTGCAGTGCATTACGGGTTGGAAGGCATGCCGTAAAGATTGCAGGGTAGTGAGTTGCTGCCTGCACAGGCCATGATGCCTGTAGTCCCAAGCCTGCCCACCAGTCATGTATCCACCCTGGCTTTGGGGTGCCTCATTGTCTCTCTTCTTCTGTTTGTCTGTGTATTCTTTCACTATCCCTATCGCCGCTGGATCTCCCCTCCTCGTGAACCAAACACTAGTGAACAACACAACTATGTCGAGTCAGGACCCCGGCACATGGGGAGACTTGAACTGGTGTGTGTTTGCTGTGTGTATTCTCAACAACAAAACTAAATTATTAGTAAATAAAGGCAACCTGCCTCTAGATCCAACCATCCCTCTAGAGGAAACACAGAGGACATGTTAAATGGCACCGCACCACAGGAATGCAGCAGACAACTCCAGACTGGAAAATTCTATAGGGTAAACAGTGTGACTTCAACATGCAAATTTCAAGGAAAAACGGTCAAAAGAGTTATCAACCCATTGCAACGTGTAGGCCTTAACTATAGCTTGATTCAAATATGATCTTACAAAGTTAAACACTAATGGCATTTCTGGGAGCCCTGGACTGCTAACCATAGGTCAGTTCAAGATCACCAGCCGATCCTCGGGTGAGAGATGAGGCTTTCTGTTTCAGTAAAGATTAACAGCCTTGGAAACCCTATACAGGGTCTCTGTGAGTCGCAACTGTCTCCACAGCATCTAGCAACAACAATGGCATCTCCAAAACACATGGCAATTTGAACATTGGATAGTTGATAACGCGGTTGTTGTTAAGTGCCATCGAGTCGGTTCTGACCCATAGCGACCCTGTATAGGGTTTCTAAGGAGCAGCTGGTGAGCTTGAACTGCCAACCTTGCAGTTCTGACGGCTTTGCAGTCTAGCCTATTAACCCATAGTGCTTAGAGTCCCTATATTTTAGATGGAGTCCTGGTATGGCACTGTGGGTTAATGCACTGGATTGCAAATGTTGGTGGTTCAACATTGGAAACCCTAAATAGGGTCGCTATGAGTAGGAACAGACTCGAAGGCACTTCACAACAACAACAACAATGTATTTTAGATACGTACTGAAAAAAGACTGAATTGTGTACTACCAAAATATTATGGCATCTACTTTAATATGAACAAAGGAAAAGGAAAAATTGAAAAGAAAGTTTTTGGTAATTCTTTTTTTTTTTTTTTTTAATATCAATTTAACACTGAAGGATTTAGAATAATGTCTGCACCCAAAGGTGTCCCCTGATGTTTTCCCCAGACCATATCCTACACAATAGCATATCCGAAGTATTCCAGGGTGCCTGCCTCTAAGCGAGGAAACCAGAGGAACATTCTGGGCTCAAATAGACCATCTTCACTTAGCAGCAGCCAGGACCTTTCCCTATGTCTGAAGGCTCAAGGTATCATCTAGTCCACACGGCTTCAAACGCCATGCCCAGTGTGGTGGTTAGCCTTTCAGTCATGAAATCGTGTCCTTGCAAAGCAAGAGCCAAACCAAGGGGCGCATACATACTTTTGTCTTTCCGGCTCCTGTGAAATCCAAGCTGGGAATCTTTGTTGAGTCCCATGCCCCAAACTTTTGTAATGTCCTTCGTTCTAGAGGACAGCAGTGTGAATCCATAGCCACAGGCAGCAGATGAAATCTGAAAAGAGTCCCCATAAAATATCAAGTGACTTCTGACATTAACATTTTTTCAGCAAATGACAAGCCATTCACCAAGCCCAACTCCACATACTGTTAAAATGTATTGAGCATGTTCTATGTCATGTAAAATATATCGAGCATGTTCTACGTCATGTAAAATATATCATCTCATTTAATTTTCATCATCGCGCTATAAAGTTAGTCTTATTACCACTTCTTCCTGGTATGACGCTGTAGGATCAGCACTGGACTGTGAACCACAATACTGGCAGTTCAAGCCTACCAGCTGTTCCTTGGAAACCCTACACAGGGTCGCTATGAGTCCGGACTGACTCGGTAGCACTTAACAACAAGAAGCACCCTAAAGAGTCCTGGATAAGCACTGGACTGCTAACCACAAGGTGAGCAGTTCAAACCTGTCAGCTGTTCCTCAGAATCCCAATACAGGGTGGCTATGAGTCAGCACTGACTTGACAGCATTCACCATGAGAACAGTGGTAGCAGTCAAGTGCACAGACTGCCTAAGTTTGAATCTGGAACTCTTGGCTCTCCCCTGCCCCAGCTGTGTGACTGAAGATCAGTAACCTCTAGTGTCTGACCCCCTCTCTGTAATTATAGCATCCCTCTCTCTCAGAATAAAGAGTAGCTAACTGAATGTAACAGTTACACTGCTGTTAAGTGCTGTTGAGTCGTTAGTCAAAATTTAAAATGTTTTTATTTCTAAAGACACTATGAAGAAAATTAAAAGGAAAGGCACTGATTAGAAGCTATGTTCACATATATATTTATATAAAATGAGTCCTGGTATGACGCTATGGGTTACAGACAGCAAAGACACTTGAACTGCAAGGTCGGCAGTTCAAGTTCACCAGCTGCTCCTTGGAAACCCTTATGGGTCAGAACCGACTAGACAGCACTTCACAACAACAACACATAAAATAAAAGGTGAGTCCTGATTTGGCGCTGTAGGTTAATGCACTGGACTGCAATGTTGGTTTGAACTGCAAGGTCAGTGGTTCAAGCTCATCAGCCACTCCTTGGAAATACTTTATGAGTCAGAACCAACTCCAAGACACTTACAACAACAACAACATAATAAAAGGCAAGTCCTGGTGTGGCACTGTTAGGTAAGCACTAGCCTGCTAATCACAAGGTCAGCAGTTCAAACCCACCAGCCACTCCTTGGAAACCCTATATAGGGTCATTATGAGGCCAACCGACTGGACAACACTTAACAACAATTATCCAGAATCCAACACTAAGAAGCCAAACAACCCAACTATTTCTCTGATCACCATTTTCAGCTTAATGAACTTTTTTTTTGGGGGGGGGGGGGGTTCTTGAAAGATAAGTCAGAAGCCAAACTAAACTCAATTCTTTTCTGCTTCGTTAATGTCTACCGTCTTCCCATCTCCTGGTGTGGCGCTGTAGGATAAGCATTAGAAGACAAGCTTGGTTTGAATTCAGCGGTGGCTCCCTGGAAACCCTATACGGAGTCGTTATGAGTCATAACCCACTGGAAAGCACTTAACAACATCTTCCCATACTACCCAGAATAACCATATTCCCAATTGGCCTGGGAAAGTCCTGGTTTACACCTGATGTCTTGACACCCAGCAAGATTTCCACATCTGGTCCTAAGCAAAGAACCGACCCTAAGAGTCCATGTTTGCGACCTGCCACCTACGAACAGAGCTCCTTAGCGGTCCTTTTCCACTTTGAGCCTTTGAGCTCACACTCGTGTGCAAACGTTCTAGTACCTTCTGACACATATTCCTGCCTCCCTCATTCCTGTAACTGCTCCAGTTCCCATCCATTTCCTGTCCTTTAATAGCAGCTCCGGACTCCAGCCCGTTCCACATTTGCTTTTGAAATTTGCTTCCCTAACTGGTAGCGTGGTAGCGTAGTGGTTACGAATCGGGCTGTGAACCACAAGGTCAGCAGTTCGAAACTACCAGCTGCTCCGCGGGAGAAAGAGGAGACGTTCTGCTCCCGTAAAGATTTACAGCCTTGGAAACCCAGTTCAGGATCTCTATGGGTCGGAACCGACTCGACGGCACTTAACAACAACTAACATAAAGGAACCCTGGTGGGTTGTGGGATAAGCAGTGGACTGATAACCCCAAGGTCAGTGCTTCAAACCCACCAGCCGCTCAGCAGGGTGTGGGACTTCTGGTGTGGCGCTGTGAGTTAATGTGCCGGACTGCTAAATTGATTTGAACCGCAAGTGGTTCAAGCTCACCAGCTGCTCCTCGGAAATCCTATCCATGGTCGCTATGGGTCACTAGGAATTGAAATTGACTTGACAGCAATCAAGTCCTAAGAGTCAGGCAGGTTCCTGACACCTCCTGCCCCAGGCGTGTGCAGCTAGCTCAGCTCGGGGTTCGTCCTCCCACGGACGTGGCTACCTGGAGTCGCCAACTCCTCGATAAGGGTCGAGCGGCTCGGAAGGTGGACAGCTTTTGGAAAGGGGGAGTAGAGGGGGCCGGGCGCGCACCTTCTGGTCCAACTCCAGGCGGTAGGGCACCGGCTGAATCCGGCGGCGCGGTCGGACACCGCCGCGGGGTGCAGGCCCAGAGCCCGGCACGACGAAGGTGGGCACGCCCAGCGCTCCGGAAAAGCTGAAGCCCCACACGAAGATGCGGTTGGCGCGCGCCGCACGCTCGCCCGCGTACTGGAACACCGGCGCATCCGCCTCGGCCTCGGCCGCCTCGCGCCGGCTCCGCGAGCGCCCGGCCGCCGTCCAGTGCCTTCGCCCCGGCCCCAACCCCAGTCCTAGCCCTGGTACCGGCTCGCCTAGCCGCCGCCCCAGCCGAACCCCCGTCGCCAAGGCTGCCCGAGCCATGTTCCGCTTCTCGGCTCAGCGGCTCCTGGGCGCTGCCATCTTGTGTGACCCTTGACCTCACGCCCTAGCGGAAGAGACTGCGCTACGTTTCCTATTGGCTGAGGGCAAAAGCTCCGAGGGCCGCCCACGGGGCGCACGAGGGAGATATGGATCAGGCGGGAAGGAGCCAGACTCCTGTATCCCTAAGTGAACGGACCTGGGGACCCGGTCCTGGACCAGCCCAACAAATGGGCGATTCCGTGGTCCACACACAGATACTGAGCATCCTTTCCACGCCTCTTGTCTGCCAGGCAGGGGGAAGATGCTCACTCGGTGAAACTCCGTGTAAGGTTCACCCGTCCTGTCAGGTCCGGGTTCCCACGCCCAAGTCGCATCTGCTACCAACTACTGCATTCCATCCTCCAGCCAAATGGAACTAGAGTATGACGCGTAAACCCCGGGGTCCTCCGTGTCCTTAAGCCTGCTATCTCTGCTTGTAATTTCAGGCCTCCCTGCTTAGTATCCAATACCTGGAACGCCCTCCTCAGCTCCTGATGTCTGGAAAATTATACATCCTCAAGATCTAGCTCAAGCATTGCCTTCGAGGCTCTTTGAAGGCAGGAACTTCCTCAGTTCATTCATATCCTCCTCCCCAATTTTGTACTCCTGTTGGTTTGTCGATTGCAACCATGGAATGAAGCAAAAGTATATTATTTGTTGACATATCTAAATGTCACCAGTGAAAGACCATTTCGAACCAATTTCGATATCACTTATATCAGGCATCACTTTATTTCCTCCCAGCTTTGGCGCAGTAGCATAAGCACTCAACTGCGATGTCGGTTTGAATCACAAGGTCGGCAGTTCCAATCCACCAGCCGCTTCTTGGAAACACTATACAGGATTGCTGTGAATCGGAATCGTCTCTCCAGCACTTAACAACAGCTTTAAATCTGAGAGTCCTATGGTGTGGTGCTGTAGAATGAACACTAGACTGCAAGGTAGGTTTGAACTGCTAGGTCGGTGATTTGAACTCACAAGCCGCTCCTCGGAAACCCTGTACAGGGTCAGTATGAGTTGACACACTTAGCAACAAAGAGCTTTAGTTAAATCTATTCTTCATCGCCTACTGTATGAAAATGGATTTAGGCTCTTTAAATATTTTTGTTTTTTACCCACAGCCTTTTATTGTGAATTGAGTGAAGGTTTGCTGAGCAGATCATGTTTTACATTCAACAAATATACTTTTGCTTCATTCCACGGTTGCAATCGACTCCATGTACCAACAGTTAACAAACAGCATTTACCTCTAGTCACTTTAACTATTGCATTCCTCCCTGTGTCTCCTGCTACCGTCATCTTTCCTTGCTAACCTCCCTCTTCTTGTATATTGCCTGTCCTGTCACCCATGTTAACATGTGTCTACCTCTAGCCCGTGAATAATTTTCCCACCTCAACAATCATAGATTGTTTCTTTTATCAAGAAAACTTTAAAAAAATAATTTTATAACACTAGTCTCATACAGTATTTGTCCTTTTGTGATTGGCTAATTTCACCATCATAATGTCCTTCACCATCATAAAGTTCCATTATATGAGGCGTTTCACAGATTCAGCATTATTTTTCAGTGTTGTGTAGTATTCCGTTGTGTAAACTTTGTTTAACCATTCTTCTCTTGATGGGCATTTAGGCTGTCTTATAGACGGCATATTGATATGTGTCTTATAGAGGGCATATTGAAGAATCCTGTTTTCTTATCCATTCTACTCTCTAAGTCATTTAACAGAACATTTCATTCATTTACATGCAGTTTCAATAGGTATCAATGTTGTTGTTGTTAAGTGCTGTCGAGTTGGATCCGACCCATAGCAACCCTGTACAGGGTTTCCGAGGCTGTAAATCTTTACGGGAGCAGAACGCCTCATGTTTCTCCCGTGGAGCGGCTGGTAGTTTCAAACTGCTGGCCTTAAGGTTTGCAGCCCGATTCGTAACCACTACGCTACAGAGCTCCTTAATAGGTATGATTTAATTGCTGTCATTTTGCTGTGTGGTTTTTTTGTGGTGCTGCTGAATTCTTTGTTCAAAATAATTTTCTATGCTGAGTTCATTTTGTTTGTTCTTTTCATTTCTGTTGTGTTAATGCTTACTAAATCTTTTTTTTTATTTTGATGTGCAGGTGTTTATTTTTCTTTGAGGCTACCCTGTAATTTATTAATTTTTCCCTTGCTTACAACAGTCTGTTTTATCTTGAAATCTTCTTGACTTCCTTGCCATTCAGAAGTTCTATAATTACACTATTCCCTCTTTTTGCTTTGTAGTTGACTTCATCATACATTGATATCTCTGCTCCCCTGTTGTAGGTTTGTTTGACTTTAAATACTTCTGTATTTGGATTGAGTTCTAGGTGGTGGTGTGCTGTATGGCAATCTCAGGTCGGTGTCTGCTATTGGTGGTTCTCAGTCCAAAGACTACCTTTAGCATTTTTTGTAAAAATGGTCTGGTCATTACAAATTCCATTAATTTATTTTTATCAAGAAATGTCTTCATTTTCTTTGTGGTTGTTGTT